AAGCACTAACAAACAACAAGAGTCACCAATACAAAAGCACGCCCCCAAATTTCAACAACCGCAACATCAAAGTACGTCAACAATACAACAAACACTCAACAATACAACAAATACTCACCAATACAACAAACACTCAACATTCAACAAGCACGCAACAAAACAAGCACGCAACCCAAAAAACAATACGTCAACAATACAACAAGCACGTCAAAATACAACAAGTACGTCAAAAATACAACAAGCCCCTCAACCAAAACAAAGCACGTCAAAAATCAAAAAAGTACGTCACCATACAAAAGACGTCAAAATTACAACAAGCACGTAACAAAACAACAAATACGTCAACAACAAAAAGCACGCAAATTACAACAAGCAGTCCAAAAAACAACAAAATCGTCAACAATCAACAAACACGTAACAATACAAAAAGTACGTCACCCAAAAACAACAAACACGTCAACATTTCAAAAAGCACGTCAACAATACAACAAGCCCCAACAATACAAAAAGACGTCAACAAACAACAAGCACGTCAACAATACAAAAGTACGTCAACAATACAACAAGCACGCCCCAAAAACAACAGTACTCAACAATCAACAAGCACTCAACCCAAAACAACAAGTACGTCAACAATACAAAAACCCGTCAACAAACAACAGAGTCAAAATCAACAAGTACTTTACCTACAAAAGCACTCAACATTACAAAAAGCACGTCAACAAAAAACAAAACCCTCAACAATACAACGCACTCAACATTAAAAACAAGCACGTCAACAATACAACAAGCACTAACAATCAAAAAACACGTAACATTACAAAAGACGTCAACAATACAACAATACGTCCAAAATTACAACAAGCACGTCAACAATACAACAAGCAGTCAAACAATACAACAACACGTCAACCCTTACACAAGCACGCAACATACAAAAAGCACGTCAACATTACAACAAGCACTTTAACAATACAACAAGCACGTCAAAAATGAGGAACGGAAATGTATTACGCAAAAACGAAACAGCAACACACAAAAATACAAAAGACAATATTAAAAAGGGACAGAAACATACAAGAAAGGGATAATAGAAATTAAAAATTAACACACCAAAAATCACTCACAGTAGTAGTAGTAACACCAAGAATCAAGAATATAGTAATACACAAATGCAAATTAACTAAAAACCTACGTAACATACAAGAAATTTAAAAAAACGTACAATAAAAGGCAACAGACAGTTTACCAATATACAATACCGCACAAGAACCTACAGAAAAAAAACAGTAATTTTAGGTTACGTGGAGCAAAATTCTAATAATAATAAAAGAATCGAAACAAAAAACAGAGGTTTAGCAGCCAGGTTGGGGATCACCGTTAAATTATTTTTGTCAAGACGTCGAGCTCAAAATTTTTTCCTTAATTCTTCCGGGAAATTTTTTATTTTTTTTTTTCTTTGTGACTGTGAATATTTTTTTCGAGAATAGTGAAGAAAGACGAAGATAACAGACGTGAAGATAACAGACGTGAAGATAACAGACGTGAAGATAACAAACGTGAAGATAACAAACGTGAAGATAACAGACGTGAAGACATGAAAACTAATAATGTTGGTAGAATTACCGACAATATGTAAAGTAAAAGGACACAAGTGCAACTAATGTGACATTTTATTGTGGCAACGTTTCGCTCTCCATGAGCTTTGTCAAGGTAACGGCTTGATAAAGCTCCTGGAGAGCGAAACGTTGCCACAATAAAATGTCACATTAGTTGCACTTGTGTCTTTTACTTTACACATAAAAACTACAAAGTGAGACTTCCTTAATTATTTCTGATTAATTCTTATCTTCCATAAGATAATTCATAAGTGTATTTCTTGCTGTATCTAAAATAAGTTTTTGTCAATTGTCACTTCTTTATAAATTCCCATTTATAATTAAGTATATCTATATATACTTTACTATATACTACATATATACTAAACTATACTAAAGCATATGCTGTACTATACCAATAATATTCGATGCAATATACATTTGCACTCTAAATCACATTTTTTCAGAATTCTATTACTATATATACTTAACTATTTCCATATCTGCCCATCATTGTCTGTGCAATATAATTTAGTTCTAACATCCGAGTGAGACAGTGTAGATATGTGCATGGAAATGTGTGCACCTGAGTGGTATAAGAGTTAGAATATAAGATAATGACCGTAAACGTGGGAATTAGAGTTTACAGGTATCGTAGAGTGTGACGAAAGTATTATGTATCTTCAAGTTTGTGTGTGTGTGTGTGTGTGTGTGTGTGTGTGTGTCTGTGTGTGTGTAAATATATATATATATATATATATATATATATATATATTATATATATATATATATATATAAATATATATATATATATATATATATATATATATATATATATATATATATATATATATATATATATATATATATATAATATATATATATATATATATATATATATATGTATTAGTGTGTGTGTGTGTGTGCCTGTGTGTGTGTATGTGTGTGCCTATGTGTGTGTATGTGTGTGCCTGTGTGTGTGTATGTGTGTGCCTGTGTGTGTGTATGTGTGTGCCTGTGTGTGTGTATGTGTGTGCCTGTGTGTGTGTATGTATGTGCCTGTGTGTGTGTATGTGTGTGCCTGTGTGTGTGTATGTATGTGCCTGTGTGTGTGTATGTGTGTGCCTGTGTGTGTGTATGTGTGTGCCTGTGTGTGTGTATGTGTGTGCCTGTGTGTGTGTATGTGTGTGCCTGTGTGTGTGTATGTATGTGCCTGTGTGTGTGTATGTGTGTGCCTGTGTGTGTGTATGTATGTGCCTGTGTGTGTGTATGTATGTGCCTGTGTGTATGTATGTGCCTGTGTGTGTGTATGTATGTGCCTCTGTGTGTGTATGTATGTGCCTGTGTGTGTGTATGTATGTGCCTGTGTGTGTGTATGTATGTGCCTGTGTGTGTGTATGTATGTGCCTGTGTGTGTGTATGTATGTGCCTGTGTGTGTGTATGTATGTGCCTGTGTGTATGTATGTGCCTGTGTGTGTGTGTATGTGTGTGCCTGTGTGTGTTATTTCTTGCAACTCTGCCTTTCACAAGATAACTGGTAAATATCTTCTTTGCTTTATCTTATACAAGTTTTTCTTCGACTGTCAAGTCTTTACACTTCACATCTCTAAAATAACTTGAAAATATTCTATAATAAAAATTTTCTTACGTTTTATTGCCTATGCAATGCAAATTAATTTTAAGAGAAGTGAGAGAAAAAGCAGATATGCGCATGGGAATGTGTGTGTATGTGTGTGTGTGTGTGTGTGTGTGTGTGTGTGTGTGTGTGTGTGTGTGTGTGTGTGTGTGTGTGTGTGTGTGTGTGTGTGTGTGAGTGTGTGGAGTTCATGCAAAGCTACATAAATATGCTTATTTGTAGACATATGGACAAATTATAACATTTATACAGCTAATTAAGTAAAAAACAAAAGAAATTAGCATAAACACGATATGAAACATAAATAGAAGTCCGAGATTTTATATCAGTAACCTCAGCTTGGTGGCCGAGTTGGGAAGCAGCTCAGTCTCGTCTAGATGGTCTGCTGTTCCAGGCTGTCTTGGTGGGTGCAATTACAGGACGCAGATTTCTGTGTGTCCTCTCCTGTAATTCCACCTACCTGGACAGTCTCGGCAGTAGACCAGGTAGACAAGACTAAGTTAACATCCAGCAAGGTCACTGGGGAGGGGCCAACACCTGCTGAACCCGGGAAAGTGAGGAAGGAAGTTCATCTGAGGGCCCGCAGATGGACTTCTGGAGATATGGAACTAGGGAAAGCAAACACACACACACACACACACACACACACACACCCCACCACCACCAGTCCATCACCCTCACCACCAGTTCATCACCCTCACCACCAGTCCATCACAGTCACCACCAGTCCATAACCACCACCACCAGCCCATCACCAACAAGTGAAGTGAGGAAGGAAGTTCACCTGAGGGCTTGCAGATGGACTTCTGGAGACATGGAACTAGGGAAAGCAAACACACACACACACACACACACACACCACCAACAGTCCATCTCCCTCACCACCAGTCCATCATCCTCACCACCAGTCCATCATCCTCACTACCAGTCCATCACCATCACCACCAGTCCATCACCCTCACCACCAGTCCACCACCTTCACCACTAGTCCATCACCCCCAGCACCAGTCCATCACACTCACTACCAGTCCATCACTATCACCACCAGCCCATCACTCTCACCACCAGTCCATCACCCTCACCACCAGACCATCACCCTCACCACAACACCATCACCAACAAGTGAAGCGTGGAAGGCAGTTCATCTGAGGGCCCGCAGATGGACTTCTGGAGACATGGAACTAGGGGAAGCAAACACACACAACCATTCCATCTCCCTCACCTCCAGTCCATCACCCTCAGCACTAGCCCATCACCCTCACCACCAGTCCGCCACCATCACCACCAGTCCGCCACCCTCACCACCAGTTCGCTACCCTCACCACCAGTCTATCCCCCTCACCACCAGTCCATCACCCTCAGCAATAGTCCACCACCCTCACCACCAGCCTATCACCCTCAATATCAGTCCATCACTCTCACCACAAGTCCTTCACCCTCCCCACCAGTTCATTACCCTCAACACCAGTCCATCACCCTCAGCAACAGTCCATCACCCTCACCACCAGTCCTTACCCCTCACCACCAGTATATCACCCTCATCACCAGTCCATCACCATCAGTCCATCACACTCACCACCAGTATATCACCCTCAAAACTAGTCCATCACCCTCACCACCAGTCCATCACCCTCACCACCAGTATATCACCCTCAAAACTAGTTCATCACCCTCGCCACAAGTCCATCGCCCTCACCACCAACCCATCACCCTCACCACCAGTCCATCACTAGCAAGGGAAGTGTGGAAAGGAGTTCTTCTGAGGGGACACAGATTGACTTCTGGAATCACAGTCCTTCACCCTCCCCCCCAGACCATCACTCTCACCGTCAATCCATCACCCTCAGCAACAGTCCAACACCCTCACCACCAGACCATCACCCTCACCATCAGCCCATCATTAGCAAGGGAAGTGTGGAAAGAATTCATCAGATGGACTTCCGTGAAACACAGTCCTTCACCCTCCCCACCAGTCGATCACTCTCACAACCAGACCATCACCCTCCCCACCAGACCATCACCCTCCCCACCAGTCCATCACCCTCACTACAAGTCCATCACCCTCACCACCAGTCCATCACCAACAAAGGAAGTGTGGAAGGGAGTTCATCTAAGGGGACACAGATGGACTTCTGGAAGCATAGTCCTTCACCATTCCTACCAGTCCATCACACTCACGACCAGTCCATCACCCACACCACCAGTCCATCACCCTTACAGCCAGTCCATCATCATCAGTCCATCACCCTCACAACCAGTCCACCTACACCACTAGTCCAACACCCTCACCACCAGACCACCCTCCCTACCAGTCCATAACCCTCATCACCAGTCCATCACCAACAATGGAAGTGTGGAACGGAGTTCATCGGAGGGGACACAGATGGACTCCACCCTCCCCACCAGTCCATCACCCACATCACTACTCCATCACCCTCACCACCAGCCCATCGCCCTAATCAGTAGTCCATCACCCTCACCACCAGTCCATCCCATCACCCTCAACACCAGTCCATCACCATCAGTCCATCACCCTCACCACCAATCCACCTACACCAATATTCCATCACCCTCACCACCAGTCCATCACCCACACCACCATTCCATCACCCTCACCAGCAGCCCATCACCCTCAGCACCACTCCATCACCTTCGCCACCAGTCTATCACCCTCACCATCAGTCCATCACTCTCACCGCCGGTCCATCACCCTCACCACCAGTCTATCACCCTCACCACCAGTCCATCACCCTCACCCCCAGTCCATCACCTTCACCACCAGTCCATCACGCACACAACCAGTCTATCACCCTCACCACCAGTCTATCACCCTCACCACAAGTCTATCACCCTCACCACATGTACATCACCCTCACAACCAGACCATCACCCTCACCACCAGTCCATCATCCTCACCACTAGTCCGCCACCCTCACCACCAGTCCGCCAACCTCACCACCAGTCCATCTCAATCAACACCAGTCCATCACCCTCAGCAATTGTCCATCTCCCTCACCACCAGTCTATCACCCTCAATATCAGTCCATCACCCTCACCACCAGTCCATCACCCTCACCACCAGTCCATCAACCTCAGCAACAGTCCATCACCCTCACCACCAGGCCATCACCAGAAAGGGAAGTGTGGAAGGGAGTTCATCTGAGGGGACACAGATGGACTTCTGGAAGCATAGTCATTCACCCTCACTACCAGTCCATCACACTCACCGCCAGTCCATCACACTCACCACAAGTCCTTACCCCTCACCACGAGTATATCACCCTCACCACCAGTCTATCACCATCAGTGCATCAACCTCACCACCAGTATATCACCCTCACCACTAGTCCATCACCCTCACCACCATTCCATCACCCTCACCACCAGTCCATCACCTTAACTACAAGTCCATCACCATCACCACCAGTCCATCACCCTCACCACCAGACCATCACCCTCACCACCAGTTAATCACCCTCACCAACAGTCCGTCACCTTCACCACAAGACCATCACCCTCACCACCAGTCCATCACTATCAAGGGAAGTGTTGAAAGAAATTCATCTGAGGGGACACAGATGGACTTCTGGAAACACAGTCCTTCACCATTCGATCACTCTCACAACCAGACGATCACCCTCCCCACCAGACCATCACCCTCCCCACCAGTCCTTCACCCTCACCACCAGTCCACCCTCACCAGCAGTCCATAACAGTCACCACCAGTCTATCACCCTCACCACCAGTCCATCTCCTTCCTTACCAGTCCATCACCCTAACTACCAGTCCATCACCCTCACCACCAGTCCATCACCAATAAGGGAAGTGTGCAAGGGAACACAGATGGACTTCTGGAAGCATAGTCCTTCACTCTCCCTACCAGTCCATAACCCTTACAGCCAGTCCATCACCCTCAACACCAGTCCATCACCCACACCACCAGTCCATAACCCTTACAGCCAGTCCATCACCCTCAACACCAGTCCATCACCCACACCACCAGTCCATAACCCTTACAGCCAGTCCATCACCCTCAACACCAGTCCATCACCATCAGTCCATCACCCTCACCACCAATCCACCTACACAAATATTCCATCACCCTCACCACCAGTCCATCACCCTCACCACAAGGCCACTCTCCCCCCCAGTCCATCACCCACACATCTAGTCCATCACCCTCACCACCAGTCCATTACCCTCATCAGCAGTCCATCACCCTCACCACCATCCATCACCCTCTCCACCAGTCCATCACCCACACTACCAGCCAATCACCCTCACCAGCATCCCATCACCCTCACCACTAGCTCATCACCCTCCCCACCAGTCCATCACCCTCACCATGAGTCTATCACCCTCACCACCAGTCCATCACCCTCACCTCCAGTCTATCACGGTCATCACCAGTCCATCACTCTCACCACCAGTCCATCACGCTCACCACCAGTCTATTACCCTCACAACCAGTCTATCACCCTCACAACCAGTCTATCACCCTCACCACAAGTCCATCACCCTCAACCCCAGTCCGCCACCCTCACCACCAGTCCCGCAACCCTCACAACCAGTCCATCTCCCTCACCACCAGCAATAGTCCATCACCCTCACTAGCAGTCAATCACTCTCAATATCAGTTCATCACCCTCACCACAAGTCCATCACCCTCACCACCAGTCCATCACCCACACAACCAGTCCATCACTCTCACCGCCAGTCCATCACCCTCACCACCAGTCCATCACCCTCACCACCAGTCCTTACCCCTCACCACCAGTATATCACACTCACCACCAGTCCATCACCATCAGTCCATCACCCTCACCAAAAGTATATCACCCTCACCACTAATCCATCACCTTAACCACAAGTATATCACCCTCCTCACCAGTCAATCACCCTCACCACCAGACCATCATCCTCCTTACCAATCCATCACCCTCACTCCCAGTTCATCACCATCACCAAAAGTCCATCACCTCAAGGGAAGTGTGCAAAAGAGTTCATCTGAGGGGACACAGATGGACTTCTGGAAGCATAGTCCTTCACTCTCCCTACCAGTCCATCACACTCACGCCCAGTCCATCACCCACACCACCAGTCCATAACCCCTACAGCCAGTCCATCACCCTCAACACCAGTCCTTCACAATCAGTCCATCACCCTCACCACCAGTCCATCACCCTCATCACCAGTCCATCACCCTCATCAGCAGTCCATCACCCTCACCACCAGTCCATCACCCTCCCCACCAGTCCATCACCCACACCACCAGCCCATGACCGTCACAAGCAGCCATCACCCTCACCACCAGCCCATCACCCTCCCCATCAGTCCATCACCCTCACCACCAGTCTATCACCCTCACCACTAGTCCACCACCCTCACCTCCAGGCTATCATGGTCACCACCAGTCCATCACCCTCAACACCAGTCCGTCACCCTCACCACCAGCCCATCACGCTCACGACCAGTGTATCACCCTCACCACCAGTCAATCACCCTCACCACCAGTCCATCCCGCTCACCACCAGACCATCACCCTCACCACAAGTCCAACACCCTCACCACCAGTCCGCCACCCTCACCACCAGTCCGCCACCCGCACCACCAGTCCGCCACCCTCACCACCAGTCCGCCACCCTCACCAACAGTCCATCACCCTCACCACCAGTCCATCATCCTCACCAGCAGTCCATCACAGTCACCACCAGTCCGTCACCCTCACCACGAGCCATCACGCTCACGACCAGTGTATCACCCTCACCACCAGTCAATCACCCTCACCACCAGTCCATCCCGCTCACCACCAGTCTGTCACCCTCACCACAAGTCCATCACACTCACAACCAGACCATCACCCTCACCAGCAGTCCGCCACCCTCACCAGCAGTCCGCCACCCGCACCACCAGTCCGTCACCCTCACCACCAGTCCGCCACCCTCACAACCAGTCTATAACCCTCACCACCAGTATATCACCCTCACCACCAGTCCATCACCCTCACCACCAGTCCATCACGCTCACCACCAGACCATCACCCTCACCACCAGTCCATCACCCTCACCACCAGTCCATCACGCTCACCACCAGACCATCACCCTCACCACCAGACCATCACCCTCACCACCAGTCCATCACCCTCACCACCAGTCCGCCACCCTCACAACCAGTCTATAACCCTCACCACCAGTATATCACCCTCACCACCAGTCCATCACCCTCACCACCAGTCCATCACGCTCACCACCAGAATATCACCCTCACCACCAGTCCATCACCCTCACCACCAGTCCATCACCCTCACCACCAGACCATCACCCTCACCACAACACCATCACCAACAAGTGGAGTGTGGAACGGAGTTGATCGGTGGGTCTGCAGATGGACTTCTGGAGACATGCAACTAGGGGAAGCAAACACACACATCCACCACCAGTCCATCTCCCTCACCACCAGTCAATTACCCTCAGGACTAGTCCATCACCCTCACCACCAGTCTATCACCCTCAAGATCACCACCAGTCCATCGCCATCAGTCCATCACCCTCACCACCAGTCCACCCACAGCACTAGTCCATCACTCTCACCACCAGTCCATCACTCTCACCACCAGCCCATCACCCTCACCACCAGTCCATCATCCTAACCACAAGTACATCACCTTCACCACCAGTCCATCATCCTCACCACCAGACCATCACCCTCACCACCAGTCCATCACTAGCAAGGGAAGTGTGGAAGGGAGTTCATCTGAGGGGACACAGATGGACTTCTGGAATCACAGTCCTTCACCCTCCCCACCAGACCATCACCCTCACCGTCAGTCCATCACC